TCTCTCTCTCTACCTGTCCCTCTTTCAAATAAACAAAAATTAATAAAACAACAAAGAAAGATTTGTCGTCCTTTTGTTATTCCAATCCATTTAGCCCGTGGCAAGAAACCAGTCTCAACGGCAGGCATGCTGTGGCGCCTGACACCCTTAGGGAACTGCGCTACCCTGAGCTGGCTCAGCTACCAAACAGTGGCCCAGAACCTAGCTGAGATGACAAGGGGCCGGTCTTCCCCAGGGGCACCTCGGCCAGGAGGCCAGCGAGGGCCTGCCCCTCAGCACCCTTGGGTCCCCCCAGCTCTGGCCCTGGGAGGTCTGACAGCACACAGGCCTCGGCGGGCCACAACTCACAGGGGTGGCCCACACATTCCTTCCCCAAAGAAGGAAAAGCCACCTGAAAGTGAGGTCATTTGGCTTCTCTGGCACAGAGGCTAACAGTTACAGGCCACCCGATGCCACAGAGAACTCCCTCAGAGGACCAGGATTTGACCAGGGGGGCCCCGGGGTCCAGCAGGCTGCAGCCCCTAACTTGACCCCTCACATACTGGAGGCATGAGCCCCCCTCATGCAAAATCGGAAATCAAACCCACCCTTCCTGGGATGAACCAGATCCCACGCTGCTCTGAGATAGTGGCCTTGCGTGGACCTGGTGAGAGTGGGCCACGAACTACAGCCCCACGGTTAGCCCCACCCCTGAGCACTCTCACTGTCACCATCACCAACACTCAGTGAGGCGTGCACCACCTCAACAAACCCACTCAACAATCCTGTTAAAGGAGCTTGACATTGAGGGTCAGAGATGGCAAGCAACCTCCCCATGGTCACACAGCAAAAGGCAGAATAGAGATTTGAACTGGGGTCCAAACTGGGTCCCTCTCTAGGCAAGCCTCTCGGCCTCTGTTCAGATCAGGGGTTCAGCACCAACCACCCAGCTCTACCAACTGTTGGGTACCAGTCCCCGGAAGGCCATAGGGAGCCTGTTGTCCCCAGGCAGTCCCCGGGCCTGGAATGGGGAGAGCACCACCCTACCCCCACAGGAGACCCCTCCCTGCTCCCCAGGGAGGCAGGATGGGCAGGACAGGTTATTTTCCTCTGCGTCTCAGCTTGAGGGCGGCAGGCAGAACACAAAGCCCGTTGAGAGGGAGCATGAATAATGCAAGGGGCGGCCAAGCTGCTGGTGCAGGTGCCAGCGTGTGCGGCACCGGCGTGTCGGGGCGCGGGCCGGCCCCTGGCAGCAGCCCTCCGCGCAGCCCACAGATGCCCCCTTGCCAACCAGCTGCAGCCGGCCAGGCCCATTCACCCAGCAAATTCTCACGGAGCACGGATTCGGTGTCAGGCACTGGAGGCAGCGGGGCACACAAAGGCACGCTCCCTAAGTCGAGATGGGGGAGGCAAACGGGGAGCCAAGATCCCACCAGTGAGTTCCAAGGCACAGAGCAAAAGCCCAGGGAGGCGTAAGGCCCCAGTGGGTGCTGACCTGGTCCTGTCTGATCACTGCTCTAAGAAAGTCAATCTCACAGGCTGAGGATGAAAACTTGCCAATGGGCCAGAGGGGAGCCATAGAATCTACCACCCAAACCAGGCGACTGAAACATACAAGGAGGCGCCAGGAACAATTATACCGGGACACAGGTGCAAACTGGTGGCCGCGTGTGCCCTACAGCGGGGTTGGATGCACCTAGGAGGGTGGAGCCCCCTGCCCTCCAGCAGAGGGAACCAATCAGCAATGGTCCCAGAGAGAAGGGAAGAAGGCTTGTGCAAAACACCTGGAGAATGGCCCTGGGTGGGGCTGGGGCAGGAGTCAGCAGGCCACTGGCCATCTCAGTGCCTGCCGGCTGTTAGGTTAATTTCTCCTGAGCACCGTGAACGCCACTTAGGACATCTGGTTGGATTTCAGCTAAGATAAATTCATGAGGGGTGGCGAGGTGGGCGTGGGATCGGGTGTGGGTGAACCCATCATGACACCTGCATCTTGGAGAGAGACTTGGAGGGCAGCCGGAAGAATGGATCAGAGGCGGACAAGGAAGGCGCCAAGAGCCCAGGGGGGAGCCTGTGCAAAGAAGCTCCAGGCCCCAGACAAAGTCGGCTCAGACCAGGCAGCGCTGGAGCCGAGTAGGCGGGTGTGAGAGAGACTCAGGCAAGCGGCGGGAGGGAGGGGTCGGAGGCCACACCCAGGTTTCAGGCCTGAGCCAACAAGATGAACAAACAGGTGGAGATGCCATCGCAGCTGTCCAGCCCACACGCCCACCCCGCCCAGACACCTGCAGCAGCTCCTCTCGGCTACAAGACGGGCCAAAGTCCTCTGCCCCAGTCCTATTTCTAGAAGGTGCCCCAGGCCAACCAGAAAGAGGGCAAGGGAGAAGCAGACACTACCTACCCACAGGCCCCCAGGACTTCACCAACAGCCCGGGGAAGGTGTCCCGGCCCTGCCCACCCGGCCCACACCACCTAAAACCATACCTTCCCAGCCTGGCTACCTGTAACACCTACTGATTGCCAGTGGTTGTGGGAAGAAGCCCATGGCCCATGTGGCTCTGGTTTTCAGAAGTCACACATGGGGAGGCTTCCCAGTGGGGGTGGGGGGGGCAGTGCTACACCCACCCTGTGGCCCCTAGCCAGTCTCTGTGTCTCCCATCAGCCTGTGCAACTGACCTCCTTCCTATCGGTCCATCTCTCTCCATCCCCCACCATGTCCATGCTCCAGTGGAATGTCTGCCGCCACAATGGGTGCCCAGCACTGGGAGATCCGAGTTCTAATTCTAGCTCTACTTACTGCCGGGCAGCTGCGGGCCTCGGGGCAGTACCTTACGTGGGGTCACACCAGCCTCATTTCAGGGGGTTCAGTTAAAAGGAAATGATAGAGCCACCGGGATAGCCGTCTAAGGAAGCAGCGCTTCCCAAAGCGGCCTGATGGTTGACAATAGAGACCCCAGCCCAACAGCTGCCACTGTGATTCGGGAGTTCTGGGGTGGGGCCCACACACTGGTATTTTAACAAGTAACAAGCATTGCAGCTGAATCCTATCATCAGGCAAGTCAGGGCAACGTAGGGCTCAAGAAAGGCAGAGAGACAGTCTGTATCACCTCACCTTCCGCCTGGAGAAGGCAAGCAGGGCTCCTCACATACAAAGTAACAACATCGGCTCCATGCCTAGGAGCGGCCCCCACCGCCGGGTCACCAACCTGGCCCCTTATATCCATCGTGCCAACAGCCCTGCACACAGAGTGCCTACAGGTGCAGACACTGTGGTTCAGATGAGGTCCTGGCAGGCACCGGGTGCAGGGGTTAAGGAGCCGCTTGGGACACCGCCTCCCATACCACAGTGCCCGGGTTTCAGTCCTGACTCTGCTCCTGACTCCAGCTTCCCTCACCTCGGGAAGCAGCGGTGAGGGCTCAACTCACTGGGCCCCTGCCACCCATATGGGAGGCCTGGATGGAGTTCCAGGCTCCTGGCTTCAGCCTGGCCCAACCCCAGCTGTTGTGGGCATTTGGGGAGGAACCCAACAGATAGAAGATCTCTGTCTGCCTTTTGAGTTTAAAAAAAGGAAAAAGAAAAAAAAAACCCTGATGTTGCAGTGAGAGTGAGGGGCTCCATGATGGTCTGGCAGGGAGAGGGGCCCGAGATCAGAGAACACAGTGCATCTGGAAGGAAGTCCAAGGTACCCGGGAGCCCCTCTCCCCTCCGTCACCCCTGCTCAGGGCACACAGCTGGCCCCACGCCAGAGTCCAGCAGCTCCCATCTCCCTGGGGAGGAAGCCGCCACCACCCAGACAGTCTCCAGCCCCTCCCTCCTGGCATTCGGCCTCTCTAGGGAGAGCTGGGCCTGCACAGACCTATGAGGGGCACAGAGAAAGGATCTAGAGGCCCTCCCAGGCCTTGCCCGCTCAGGAGCAAGGCACAGCCACAACAGCTGACACCAGGAATACTTGTTTACGAGGTTTTAAATTTTACTTATTTGAGAAGTAGAGAGAGACACATACATACATACAGACCAAACAACCAGAGAGAGCTCCTATCTGTGGGGAGCAATCCGGACTAGACTGAGTTACTGGAATTAAGACTTATTCTATGCATCTGCTCTCCCACTGGGAGAGAAGTAAACAGCTTCCGCACAGCTGCCTCCAGTTCAACTAATAAACTGTAGGACTTGCTATTGATTGGAGGAGAGCAGCGTACTCGGCGTGTGGGCAGCCGAGTTAGGATTGGCGGAGGAGGACTATAAAGGAGGAGAGAGACGGCATGCACCGGGAACATCTATGGGGAACATCCAAGGGAACCCGTGCAGCCCCCGAGAAGAGCCGGCCGGCGGTGTGCCGTTCCCCTGCGGAAGTGGGGAATGCGGCCAGGGGGAACTGCCCTTCCACGGAGGTGGAAGGGATAGTAGCCAACCCGGGAAGAACCAGCAGCAAACCCGGGGAGGGCCGAGCAGACGAAAGAACAGCGCAGGGTCCTGTGTCGTTCCTCCACGAAGAGGGGGAGCGACATAATGGTGCCGTGACTCGGATATGAAGCCTAGGCAGGGTTCAGTGTCGTTCCTCCATGAAGAGGGGGAGCGACACTATCTGTTGTTTCATTGCCCAAATGCCTACAAAGACAGGGGCTAGGCCAGTGCCAAAGCCAGGAGCCAGCAACTCAATCAAAGTCTCCCACACAGGTAGCAAGACCCCAAGAACTTGAGTCATCAGCTGCTCCTTCGTAGGGTGCACATTGGCAGGAAGCTGGAGTCAGGAGCCGAAGCTAGGACTCGAACCCAGGCACTCTGACACAGGACATGGGCTCATAACTGCTAAGCTAAATGCCAGCTCCCTACCACACAGCTCACACTGATCACTCTCTCTTCACAGCAAGTGGATGAAGAGGCAGATGTTGGGATCTCCATTTTAGAGATGGCAAAACTGAGGGGACAGGACTGTTAGGTGCCACAGCTTGCAAAGAGCAGGCCCCAGACCCAAAGCCAGGAGTTCCCTAACCCCAGATCCCAAATGCTTCCTTCTGCTTTCCGGCTCTCACTAGCCCAACAGGAGGAGCACAGAGGACAAGACCAGCCACTACCAGGCCCCAAGAAAGAACGCAACTCCTCTGGCAGAATACACACCACCCAAGAGGTAGGCGCTCCTGGTGGCACCGAGCCCCCACACAGCCACCACTTGTGGATCTCGGCCAGCCACGGGACTGTGGCTCAGAGTGCAGCCCGCATCCGTGAGCAGAGATCCGTGTGCCATACCCACTAGGCACAGTGGCCAACTGCTGGCAAGCAGACTTACCAAGAGCAGAAATCATGGCCATGACAGGCGTCCTGTTCCCTTAGCAAGAAACAGCCAGAACTGTTCCCCAAAGGAAGCTAGTAAGTTTCGCATGAAGCTCTGTAACTCACTGGTCAGAAATGGATCATATACTAGCCTTCTGGGGCAGCCTCGGGGTGAGGAACGACCTCGGGCAGGGAGAAGTAGGGGTGTGGAGGCTGGGGAGGGGGGAACCAGCAAGCTCTGGGGTCCCTACCCCTCCCCAAGACACCCAGGAAGCTGAAGCAGATCAAGAGGGAGAATGGGGACCCGGACCAAAGAGGTCCTTTACCACCAGAAGATTCTGGGAAGAATTTCTGATTAGCTCTGTGGTCCCAGACACTCCCCCCACCCACCCAGAGCCGTGCCAGCATGGGACACGGTGCCTTCTTGGGGACACAGCTGGCCTCTGCAGACAGCTGCTGAAGCAGCCCTGGCCAGGGGAGCAGGAGGGTGAGGGGATGGGGGGTAGCACGCAAGGCATAGTTTTCCTGCCACTCCCGCCTTGGGGGCTCAAAGTGCCTGCAAGGCGCGGCACCATCAGCACAACATAAAATCCAGCAAGCCCACTTCTGCGTGCAGACACAAAAGAATGGAATGCAGGCCTACAACAGGTACTGGCACATCCCTTTTCACAGTAGCCAAAGGACACAGGCCAACCAAGTGTCTACCAAGAGAGGAGCAGATACACCCAGCGTGGTGAGACGGACGACGGAATATTACCCAGCCTCAAAAAGGCAGGCGATCCGACACATGCCACCACACGGATCATGATGAAGACAGGCCACGTGCAAGCAGTCACTCACAGAAACAAGCAAGGGTTGCTTCCACTCACATGACAGCAGCCAAGATCAGACAGCCAGGAGGGAGGCCTGGTGGCCACCAGGGCTGGGGAAACGGAAAAGCGTTTGGTGGGTACAGAGAGCCAGCTTTGCAAGAGGAGGTGTTCTGGAGGTGGACGGTGGCGATGGCTGCACAGCCCATCACTGTGCTTACTGCCCCTGAACTCACTAACGCTTAACGTGTGCTGGGCGCTCGGGACAGTTGTTCAGGGCCACACCCCACACCAGAGGGGCTGGGTTTGAGTCCCAGTTCCTCTTCAATGGCAGCTTCCCTGGGAACAGCAGATGACGGCTCAAGTAGTTGGGTCCCTGCCACGCATGTGGGAAACCCAGATGAGGTTCTAGGCCCCTGGTGTCAGCTTAGCCCAACCCTGGCTATTGTAGGCATTTAGGGAGTGAACCAGAGTGTAGGAGATCTCTCTCTCGCTCGCTCTAATAAATAATACATAAAAATTGTTAATTATATTATATACATCATACATACACATACATGTATATACTACATATATACACATTATATATACATATATATTAAAATCAGACATTAAAATCCTATCTGGGCCGGCGCCACGGCTCACTAGGCTAATCCTCCGCCTAGCGGCACCGGCACACCGGGTTCTAATCTCGGTCGGGGCGCCGGATTCTGTCCTGTTGCCCCTCTTCCAGGCCAGCTCTCTGCTGTAGCCAGGGAGTGCAGTGGAGGATGGCCCAGGTGCTTGGGCCCTGCACCCCATGGGAGACCAGGAAAAGCACCTGGCTCCTGACATCGGATCAGCACGATGCGCCGCCACAGCGCGCCGGCCGTGGCGGCCATTGGAGGGTGAACCAACGGCAAAGGAAGACCTTTCTGTCTCTCTCTCTCACTGTCCACTCTGCCTGTCCAAAAAAAAAAAAATCCTAACTGTGGCATCAAAGAATTCCCTATGGGCAGCTGTTTTCATTTTGCCATAAACAGGTCTCATTTTTAAGGCAAAACAAAACAGACACTGAAGGCTTGTAAACCACACGCACTGCAAATCCTGCCTCCCACGGGTGCTGAGCGCACGCGCCTCCCCTGCCCCCCTGCCAGCCTGCCTTGCAGAGGATGAGACCCCACCCCACCCAAGGCAGACTCTGGGTGGGGCCCTGGCCCTCCAGGAAACACAGGAGGGAAGTGATCCTCATGGCCACAGGCGACAGCCGGCTGGGGGCCCCTCCCAGGCCCTGACTCCAAGGTGACTCAGCTTTGGTGTCCCCGGAAGGAAGCGGGCCGGCCTGCTGGCTTTTCCCTTTCTAGGAAAGCACAAGGCATGACTTGGCCCAACCCCAGAGGCCCGGGTTTCTCACACAGACTGCGCTGGCTACGCCTCCCATCACCCTCTGCAACAGGGGGAGAAGACGCCAGAGGCAAGGGGCTCACTCAGGAGGAGGAGAGAGGCACGGGGTGGGGCGGGAGGGACAGGCCTTCCTTCCTACCTCCACCCCCAGCAGAAGTCTACGGGACGCCTGGAGGCTCCACAGTGTAGCAGGCTCAGCGAGGGGCTGGGACATTTGCTAAGTCCCCTTTCATCTCGGATACGCCCCACTTTTGCGGGTGCGCCAGGCACCACGCTAGCAATGGGAACAGTGGGCAAGGCCAGCCTTCGCTGTACCGGCAGCCTTACGAACACCTCCGCTGAGCTTCAGGGTCTCCCACCCTCGCCGCTGTCCCCAGGCTGGCCCTGTGAGGGAGACCACCCTCGCCGCTGTCCCCAGGCCGGCCCTGCGAGGGACAGGGGCATAGAGAGGGGAGCCACATGGCGCTAGGGGAAGAGCAGAGAACCAGAGTCTGTCCCGGCCCTGGAGGAGCTCCCGCTCTGTGTCTGGCAGCAGGGACTGGGGACCTGCAGCTCTGACCGTCTAGACTCAACCTCTCCGTCCAGGATCAGTGAGGGAGGGCCCCAGCCCGGACCCTGCAGACTACAGCCAGGCCCAGCTGACCGATGGCCAACTCCGGGGAGCTCGGAGACGCCAGGGACGTCGTAGCTCTTGCCTGCCCAAGGCCAGCTGCTGGGGGCTGTCTAAAGGCGGACGTCTCGCTCTGACTTCGGGGATAAAATGAACGTGGCTGTCTTCCTTAAGCTGGGAGCACCAGGCTCCCAGGGTCCCGGGCTGCAGGGACAAGAGGACAGCTCGTGCGCCGTCCCTGTGCCGCAACTGCCCAGAGGCGGGACATCAGTGACCTCCACCCCCCCAACACGCGCCCCCTCCCCAGCTCCGCCGGATTTTAACCATAAACACAGCCTTTCTCTGAAGGCAAGGGCTTAACACAAACCAGATGCAATGGAGACTCTCCCCCCACCCCTCTTCTTGGCCCTAAAATTAAACGTTCAGTATTTCCTCTGCCAAAAGCCACTGGAAGGCCGGGCCTTAAAGAGCCAGAGCCTCCGGTTCTCACCCTCTCACACTCTCAATCATGTCCCTGCTTAAACAAAGTGTCAAAGTGCCCCAAAGGGAAAGTGTGGCTGGCCTCCCCCTCCCCCCAACCCCAGGAGCGCCTGGCACCCGTGCAGGGCGGGGACACACTTGAAAGGAGAAGCCACGGAGGAAGAGGAAGAACGAAGGCCCATCTTCCACCAGCAGCATCCCCATCAGCCCACAGGGACCAAGACAGCAGGGGTGGGGGGCTCAGGGATACAGTGTCCCTGGGGCTGGCATGCACATGGCTGCCCCCTGGACCACAGCTTGTCTACAGGGAGCTGGACCCACGCCCTGCTCGTGTCCCAGGGGACTCAGGAGAGGCCTGGACTTCCAGGGTGAGGGGCAGGCACCTCTCTATCCTCTGGCCTCTCATGGCTGTGATGATCTGAACAGGATCCACCTTACAGGACCCAGACCCCCATGCCGCACTGGCTGCTGTGTCGTCCTGACAGCTCTCCCTGTCCCACAGCTCCTTCCAACCCCAGAGGCCCAAGGCCCGTGTCCCGCCACCCACCTCCCACCCCGCCTACCACCCCTCACCTCACTGTGCACCCAGCTTAAAGACACACCTGGACTCAGGCTCAGGGGCCCACGTCTTAGACCCCAAGTGTGCTCCGCACAGCCCAGCGGCCAACACAGCACACCCTGGAAGTGCTGAGATCCGATGCTTAAATCTCACCAAGATGATGTTGCAGATAGACATCTTCCATGTTGCTATGACTTTTTGAAAGGATATATTTATTTCTGTTGATTTATTTGAAAGAGCAAAAGAGAGAGAGATCTTTCACTGGCTGGTTTACTCCCCAAAGGGCCGCAACAACCATGGCTGGACCAGGCTGAAGCCAGGAGCCAGGAACTGCATCTGGGTCTCCCACATGGGTGGCAGGGGTGAGGTACATGGGCCATCACCTACCACCTCTTCAGGTGCCAGGAGCAGGGATGACAAGCAGAGCAGTCAGGGCTCAAACCAGCGCTGCAATATGGGATGCTACAACGCCAGCTCCCTGCTATGAAATTCCAATACTCTTTAAGAAGTATTTATTTATTTATTTATTTGACAGGCAGAGTTAGACAGTGAGAGAGAGAGACAGAGAGAAAGGTCTTCCTTCTGTTGGTTCACCCCCCCAAATGACTGCTACGGCCGGCACACTGTGCCAATCCAAAGCCAGGAGCCAGGTGCTTCCTCCTGGTCTCCCATGCAGGTGCAGGGCCCAGGGACCTGGGCCATCCTCCACTGCACTCCCAGGCCACAGCAGAGAGCTGGCCTGGAAGAGGAGCAACCAGGACAGAATCTGGCGCCTCAACTGGGACTATAACCCAGGGTACTGGCGCCGCTAGGTGGAGGATTAACCTAGTGAGCCGTGGCGCCGGCCCTAAGAAGTATTTAATCCTATAACTGTAACATAGCCATGTTCAGTTCTGCATATTACCTGGCTCATTTACACTACTTTCACAGCTGTAACTAATAGTCATGTCCATACCACCATCATTTGCCTACTCACAGGGGACATTTCCCAAGATCCCCCAGTGGACACCTGAAACCAGAGAGTACCAAGCCCACATATGCTGCTTCTCCTACATGCATATACCAAACGTAATGCTACCCCATCTTAAAAAAAATTTACTTATTTATTTACTTGGAAGTCAGAGTTACAGACAGATAGGGAGAGAAGGAAAGATCGTCCACCCCCTGGTTCACTTCCTATCCATCTCCCTGTTAATACTCCTGGGAAAACAGCGGAGGCTGAGGCTGGCCCAAGTGCTTGGGCCCCTGGCACCCACGTGGGAGACCCAGATGGAGTTCCAGGCTCCTGGCTTCGGCCTGGCCCAGCCCCTACTGTTGTGACCGTTTGGGGAGTAAAGCAGCAGATGGAGAATTCTCTCTCTCTCTCTCTCTCTCTCTCTCTCTCTCTCTAATTCTGCCTTTCAAATAACTAAATAAATCTTTAAAAATAAAATAAAATTGAATTGAATTGTTTCTTTCTGGAATTTTCCGTTCATATTATTAGACGGTGGTTGGCCATGCTAACTGAAATCAGGGAATGGGGAAAGCCTGGGTGGAGGGACCACTCTAATTAGTAATTTTCCTACTTCCAACAGCCTACTGGATATTCTGCTCCTGCACAGTCTTCCTGATCATCCTTGTTAAATTAGACTGTAGAATTATTCCACCAGGATGAATCATGATGGCTGGTTAAATTCCTCCCCTACAGTTCGATGAGGAGCGCGTTCCTCCCCCAGCGCTGGCCCCGTGGAAAGGGCCCGGAGAGCATTTGTAAGTGCGTCTTTATTTTGCTGGAAGTTTCCTTAGAACGTGATAATGGGGTGGGGGTAGAATCACTTAAACAAGGATACGAACATTTTCAAGGCTTTGCTACATCAAGAGCCATGACACTAGCCCCCCAATCTGCCACACCTTTAGAAATAAGGGCATTTACTGGTTCCATTAGAAACTTCCTTGGATCACTGTTTTAAAAACATACATTTATTTGTTTACTTATTCCTTTATTTAAAAGGAAAAAAAAGAAAAGGAAAGAAAGAGACAGAGAGCTCCCATTTGCAGGTTCACTTTCCAAATGGCCTTAACAGCTGAGGCTGGGCAAACTCCATCCGTGTCTCCCACATGGGTGGCAGGGACCCAAGTACGTGAGCCATCACCTGCTGCCTCCCAGGGTGCACCCCGGCAGGCAGCTGGAATCGGGAGCGGAGCCAGGACTCTGGACGAGGCACTCTGACACGGGACACAGGCCTCCAGCTGGCACCTTGGCTGCTACAGCTACGTGCCCACCCTCAATCACTTTTCTTTCTTTTTTGAAGATTTATTTATTTATGTGAAAGTCAAAGTTACACAGAGAGAAGGAAAGGCAGAGAGAGAGAGAGAGAGAGAGAGAGAGAGAGAGAGGGCTTCCATCTGCTGGTTCACTACCCAGCTGGCTGCAACAGCCGGAGCTGTGCCAATCTGAAACCAGGAGCCGGGAGCTTCTTCGGGGTCTCCCACAAAGGTGCAGGGACCCAAAGACTTGGGCCACCTTCTGCTGCTTTCCCAGAGCTGGATCGGAAGTGGAGCAGCTGAGACTTAAACTGGCACCCATATGGGATGCTGGCACGACAGGCCAAGGCTTTACCCGCGATGCCACAGCGCCGGCCCCAATCACTTTCTTTTTAGAAATTGTTTCTCAGCTAAGTTGCTTTGAAAGAAAGATTTCACCTTCTCTGGGCCTCCAGACTAAGCCCGGGAGATGCTTTTTCTGAAATCCTGGCTCCAAGCCCTACCTCACCTTTACCAAAAACTCTAGTCCACTCTGTCAGTGGACTCCTGGTGCCCCTTAATCCCCTCTCCCCATCCGCAGTCTCAGTGCATGTCTTAGCTCCCAGACCCCATCTGCACTGCGTGCCACATCTCTCCCTCAAAGCTCCTGCCACACTGAGAAGCAACCAGAAGTTTTCTTGAACTAAAACTCCCAAACTGAACTCTGGGTGGTATGGGTCATTACAGGCCTTGGGAGGGGGGGGGGGTCCTGTCCCAAGGAAGCACGGCTGCAGGCAGACCCCCAGGCTGATACGGCTCTGTCTCAAGACAATGAGGAGGTGTGCACAGATCCATGGCGCTGCCCCATGGAAGCTAAACCCCAGGAGGCCCAGAGCCCCTAAAGAGGGCCAGGGAGGAGCTCCGACGAGGCAGCCCGCCCGGGCGAAGCTGAAATCCCTTCCTCCGCAGGAAATCAAACAGGCTGGGGGATCACCGAGGGGAAGGTTGGGCCCTCAGAATCCCCACCAGGATGACCCTGACCGCTATCGGTGCACTGTACAGGCTCTTCAAAGAGTTTGTGGAAAAAGGAATTAAAAGGTAGCTGGTAGCCTCCACACACAAAGAAAGGACTGGGAAATAGGCTACTTGCCTGGTTTGACTGCTTTACACTGTGCATTGGTAATCATTTTTAAAACAAGGCACAAGGGGCCGGCGCTGTGGCACAGTGGGTTAACACCCTGGCCTGAAGCGCCGGCATACCATATGGGCGCCAGTTCTAGTCTTGGATGCTCCACTTCTGATCCAGCTCTCTGCTATGGCCTGGAAAAGCAGTGGAGGATGGCCCAAGTCCTTGGGCCCCTACATCCGCATGGGAGACCCGGAAGAAGCTCCTGGCTCCTGGCTTCAGATCGGTGCAGCTCTGGCAGTTGCAGCCAATTGGGGAGTGACCCATCGGATGGAGGACTTCTCTCTTTCTGCCTCTCCTCTCTGTGTAACTCTGACTTTCAAATAAATAAATAAATAAATCTTAAAAAAAAAAAAAAAAAAAACAAGACACAAAGCAATCTTAAAAATAAAAAACTAGAGGTGTACATTTGGCGCTGCAGTTAAGTCACCTCTTGGGACACCCACAACCCACACTGGAGTCCCTGGGTTCAAGTCCTGGCTCTGCTTCCAAACCAGCTTCCTGCTAATGCACACTGGACAAGGCAGCAGATGATGGCTCGCTCAAATGCCTGGATCCTGCCGCCACGTGGGAGACCCACACTCAGCTCTTCAGCCTGGTCCAGCCTGGGCTGCTGTGGGCATTTGAGTGGAACAGTGGCTAGAAGATCTCTCTCCATCTGTCTCTTTCTCTCTCTCTCTTTTAAATAAAATGAAAATAGATTCTGAAAATTTAAAAATAGCAATACTGAAAGATGAGAGTTTTTTCCCTTGTAGTGCATGAAGAGGAAGGCTCACTTAACCTTATGGTGAAGGTGGAAGGTGCTACACGGACAGTCACTGAACCCTTGTTGCTGGGGCATCACAACAGGCATTTTCCAGGGGCTTTTTTTCTTTTTTTTTTTAAGATTTATTTTATTTGAAAGAAAGAGAAATTTTCCATCCACTGGTTCATTCCCCAAGTGGCCTCAACGGCAGGAGCTGGGGCCAGGCTGGAGCCAGGAGCCAGGAGCCAGGAACTCCGTCTGGGTCTCCCACTTGGGTGGCAGGGGCCCAAGTTTTGCGCCATCCTCTGCTTCTTTCCCAGGCGCATTAGCAGGGAGCTGGCTCGACAGTGGAGCAGGCGGGACTTAAACTGGTGCTCACACAGGATGCCGGCCCTGCGGGCAGGGGCTTAACTTGCAGCACCACAGTGCTGGCCCCTCCCGTGGGCCTTTAGAAGTACCCTCGTATTGCTTTAAAGCAGCTTTGACGGTAGTCAACCAGCCCACCCGCTCCAAGGTGAAAAGCAGCCCACAACCAGCAAAGCAGTACCAGACTTGCCAGCCTTTCTTTACTTCCTTGTAAGTGATTGTGTGTGTGTGTGTGTGTGTGTGTGTGTGTGTGTGTCTGTGCGCGCATGCCCGCATTAGGGTCTAAGAGAGATCCTGTGTCCCTCTTGGGGGTGGCTGGTTTCAGTCTCAAGGGGACGACACTTCTTTAGAAGGTTCCGGAACACGAATTAAGCTCCTCCTACTCAGGCTTAAGCAATGCATTCCTCCAGGGGTCTTACTCCTATAGAGGGTCTTCCACCGAGTTCTCCAGATGCATCTAAAAGTTAAAGGAGGTGCTGGCTGGAATGCAGATCCCCGGGCTCTGCCTCGAGCATTTGTCTGGTGGGTCTGGGCCAGGCCCAGAAGGCTACAGTTTACGTGACCCACCTTTCAGGAACACAGCACTTGCGTGGCACAGCAACTGGACATGCGCAGGGGCACGAGGACACCCACGGGCGCCCAGGGGCCCCGGGAGTGCGGGAGTGTCTACTCTGAGCACCGGAACCTCCCCTTGAGAGGCGGTCATTGGAGCTGGGCCCGCGTTCGCTGCGGCTCTGCGGGTGTGAGGGGCAGCGAGGGGAGAGAGGCTCCCAAACCAGAGGGAACGAACCATCCCCAGCCCCGCCACAAGACCACAGGCCGGGGCCCTCATGAGCCCCAGCAGGGAACTCTCCACCCAGACTATGCCAACAGCAGCTGAGACGTTCTGGTGGACTGATTGCCCGCAGCCTCTGGCAAGGGGACAGCTGCTCCCAGCTGTGCATCAGATGGGCGGGGCCCAGCAACCTCCAGGAAAGAGAGCCTGAGGTTTCTGCCATGGTGTGCGGGGTGGGGGTGGGGGTGGGGGTGGGGGGCGGCTGACTCCACGGTACCATCATTGAAGTGCTCATCTCCTTCCCCAGAGACACCTGCAGACCCACAGTGGCGGTGACACGGGCAGAGCCACAGGAGACAGGGCCACGTGTGCGTCAGCTCTGCATGCTAACCAGTGACTCAGCCACCCAGGGGCACCGCTGCCGTGCGCACAGCACCAACCCACCCAACGTCTTCGCCCATCTCAGCATCCGGGGACCTCCTGAGAAATCTCCTGTAGGTTCTTAGGGCCCCTGAGCCCTCACTCCCTGTCTGAGGCCAGGTAATTGGCAGAGCTGAGAACTCAGATGGCCAACAACCGTGCATGCTCAGTCCCGGAGGCGCCACACTCTGGGCTGGGGAGGTCAAGAGTCCAGCAAGGCAGGAAGGGGCTTCTCCCTGTCCTGCCCTAGAGGCCGAGATGGGGAGTGGACGAGAGCGGCTACCTGCGCCATGGAGGACTCGGTGAGAGGTGCAGATGAGGAAGTGAGAACAGGGCGCAGAGCCGGCAGCCTCAGGTCCTCCGCTGCGACTTCTCCCACTTCCCTTCTGCTGCGAGCTCTTCAGAGGCGCCTCGCGCAGGCAGGAACCTGGGCAAGTGGCCAGGAGCCAGAGCCGAGCAAAACGGCCTCAGACCCCCATGCACCTGCTGACCGCTTCCCCGCACACGCTCCTCCAGCGTGGCGTGTCCTGGCGCACAGCTGCACGATTTCCTCCCCAAAGTGCAAATGCCGGGCGGGGTGGGCGCCAGGCCTGGCCAGGGCAGGCTGCCTGCATCCCACCTGGAGCAGCCGGGTCCGGGCACACCGCCGCACCTGGCCGACACCACGGCAGACCCGAAACCGCTTCTAGAAGACAGCTTTGGCCTCTGCAAAGGGGCGGGGGCCCAGCTCGCGTTTTCACAGCAAAACTGCAGCTTCGCCCCACACATGCCCAGCACCCGCAGTGACCAGTGCTCTTCATAGTAAGCCAAGGCCCGAGGCAACCTGGGAGCCGCGAGCCGCCAGTCCACACAGCCTGCTCACCAGGGCCTGTCGAAGCCGGGCAGTGCCGGAGGCTGCAGGTCAGGCTACAGACCGTCTCCAAGGACTGGGCTCTCTCTGAGACCTCCAGAAAGAGAAAGGCTGGATTTCGTTCCTCCAGCACCCCACTGAACGCCCTCGTACAAGTGTGGTGTAACACCCAGCCTCCGGCTTTCACACGCGTTAAGAACCGAGTAGACAAGAAAGGTCTGTGTGTTCTGTGAAACCAGCACCGGCAGCACCATGCAGCACACTGCTCCTCCTACGTGGCAAAGCCCTCAGTGTTCAGTGCTGACAAAAAGCATCTCTTTCCCGTGAGCTAGTTTACTTCTTTTTACCGGGACAAAAACACTGTGCTGTTTCCAATTTCCCTTTTTGCCTTGGTGGCCAGGAAGCTCAGAACAAGGGTCAGCGCTGACTTACAAAAACTAACCTCTTCTGCAACACAAATGATGCAGGACCTCGCTTGTATGAGGAAGTTGAAAAAGCTGGATGCGTAGAAGCTGGGAGAACAGTGGCTATGAGGCACGAAGGCAGGGGGCACAAACGTTCAGTCCTGAGGGAAATGGACAGTGTGGTGCCCGACTACAGCTGCTCACAGCTGCTAACTTGAGCTTTGCTAACAGAACAGAGCTCAGCGCTCTCATCTCTCCTACCCCCCCTTACACACACACACACACACACACGGTAACTATGCAAGATCATGTATGTGTTAATCAATTTAATTGTGATCATCATTTTATAATGTATCAAATCATCACATTCTATACCTTAAATATATACAAGGGTACTTCAGAAAGTTCATGGAAAATGAAATATTTTGGGGGCCAGCGCCGTGGCTCACTTGGTTAATCCTCCACCTGCAGTGCCGGCATCCCATGTGGGTGCAGGTTTGAGTCCCAGCTGCTCCACTTCCGATCCAGCTCCCTGCTAATGCGCCTGGGAAAGCAGCGGAAGATGACCCAAGTGCTTAGGCCCCTGTACCTATGTAGGAGACCCAGAAGAAGCTCCTGGCTCCTGGCTTCAGCCTGGCCCAGCCCTGGCCATTGCTGCCACTTGGGCAGTGAACCAGCAGATGGAAGACCTCTCTGTGAGTGTCTCTCTAACTCTAACCTTCAACTAACTAAATAAATTAAAAAAAAAAAAGGTCTAGATCTTCTAGCTTCAATCTAAAACTCTGCTGGAGAGGAGGCTTTTATTACTATTTTTAACTTATTTGAAAGGCAGATACAGTGAGAGAAGGAGAGACAGATCTTCCATCCTCTGGTTTACTCCCCAAATGGCCGCAATGGCCTGGGCTGGGCCAGGCAGAGCTGGGAGCCGGGAGCCAGGAGCTTCTTCTGGGTCTCCCATGTGGGTGCAGGGGCCCAAGGACTTGGGCCACCCTAGAGGAGGCTTTTAACATGTCCACTGTACTTGCTTTGTGCCAAGAGGCAGGGAAGTGTGCAAATCAATGCGCATTCATGAAACCATGCCTGTCCCTGAAGGTCTGTCTCCAGGGAAGGGCCATTAAGGCTGTGTGGCTACATGAGCAAAAATCAGTTTGATAAAATGCCAAGTAGGGAAACAGAAAAACAGAACGAAACTGTATAGGCACTATGACGCCACTATCAAAATAATGGGTGTGTGAGGATAAAAAAAAAAAAAAAAAACGGGTTTCTGAAAACACACACCGTTGTGTCCAGGGCCCCCCAATCCCACACTGAAGTTATCGTCCCCCAACGACAGTGCAGGCCCACGGAGGTGACGCCGGTGCCACGCCTGCCAGGAAGTCCACAGCCACCGCCAGGAACTGCTCCCACCAGACCGGTAGACACACACACACACACCAGGAGGTGCTGGTGCCCCGGCCACATCGGCCAAGCGGCTGGCTGCGAGGACGGCCAGCTGGGCCTCCTCCCTGAGGCCGACAGCCCCACCAGGGCAGGGCAGCACAGCAGGCAGGGCGAAGGGTCTACAGAGGCAGGGGCTGGGGCTGGGTTTCCGCCCGGCCTAGGAAAGCGAGCAGCAGAGGCAGGCAGGGCTGACTCAGGTGCAGGTGGAGTGAGCTCATCCCTTCCAGGGCATCCTTGGAACTGGAAACCCACAGCCGAGATGGTTCCCATGGCAACAAGCCAGCACCTCCTCCACAGCCGCCTTCCTCGGAGCGCCTGTGCCTGTGCCCACGGTCACTAAGCCACCCTCCCCAGCCTCGGCGTGTAGAACAGAGGAAGGAGGGGCCAGGGCAGGCTGGGCGAGGCGGAACCACGCATGCCCCCCGGGCCCGTCCTTCTGGGGTAGGACTGAACGGGACTCCTGGCCACGCGGCTGCCACCGAGTCCTACTTCTGGCCCTGGGGCAAGTCAACCCAGTCCCTCTTCCATATCACAACCCTGGGCCCTCTCTCTGCACCTTCACATACTCTTCTGGCTTCCACCTTCCCCACCTGCCACATGGGCCCTGCACACGGGCCTCTCCACGTGTGGTGTCCGACGCAGACAGCCACACACCCGCTGAGCAGCTCTCAGGGCAAGCCTGGTGCCTGTACCGCAGCACAGATGGCCAGAGCTTGTGCCTCCACTGATACGCCCAGTACCCACCACTACCCACCCCCAGGCATCCCACACGCAGCTGCACCGGCCCACTGTCTCCTTCACTCATCTCCACACTGCACTCCTGTGTCCCTGCCTCTGGTCATTCCGACGTAGTCTAGGTCTGATTCTTGGCTCACGTTGTCACCTCCTCCAGGAAGCCTCACCTGGCTCCTCCTAGCAGGGCTGCGGCCTTCCTCTGGGCTTCCTTCACTATACACTGGGCCCAACACCTCTGCACACAACAGGTCAGCCGTGGGTCTCTCGTGCACTGGCCTGCTCCAAGGCCAAGGTCATGCAGCTGACCCTGACCTGGACCTGTAAGTGTTTAATACAGTCCCCAGCCACACAGCAACATTTCTGTCAACAACAGACTGTTGGGGCCGGCACTGTGGCGCAGTGCGTTAACACCCTGGCCTGAAGTGCTGGCATCCCATATGGGCGCCGGTTCAAGACCCGCCTGCTCCACTTCCTGTCCAGCTCTCTGCTATGGCCCGGGATAGCAGTAGAAGATGGCCCAAGTCCTTGGGCCCCTGCACCCACATGGGAGACCCGGAAGAAGCTCCTGGCTCCTGGCTTTGGATCAGCTCAGCTCCGGCCATTGCGGCCATCTGGGGAGTGAACCAGTAGATGGAAGACCTCTCTCTCTCTCTCTGCCTCTCCTCTCTCTGACAGTGGGGGGACTTTCAAATAAATAAATCTTAAAAAAAAAAAAAAAAAAAAAAAAAGACTGTGCAGTCAACCGTGGCGCCTTAAGATTATCACGGAGCTAAAATCCTCCCTCCACTTTGTGACCTTGCAGCCCTCTTAGTTTGTCTAAGTCCATCTCCATGAAGCTCACACAGTGACAAAATCGCCTTGCGATGCGTTTCTTGGAGAGCGTCCCATCGCTCAGTGACACGTGGACCCGTGAAATCCAGCCACTGAGCCCAAGGATTTTGTTACACTATTCTCTGAACATTTTCTTCTGTTTGAAATGTCATTTAAAAAAAAGAAGAGAGAGAACCATAATCTACAGTAAACACAGGCCGAGTGCCTTCAGCCCTACGTGTATGTCAACAATCTCCAGTTTCTACCTGAACTCACGCTACAGACACGGCCCTCTCGGCTGGGCCTGGCGCCCAACATCACCTGGCCAGTTTTCCAGGGAGTTAGTTCAAACCTCAGATGAGCACCTGTACATCCAGGCAGGATCGGCTGCTAACGACTGGAGCCCAGTAACAGGTACATGAGACTCCACTATACTGCTCTCTCTACTCCCATGCACAAATGCCACAACTTTTTAAAAATCCGTTCACGCATGCAACTAAAATGCACTGTGAATAAATACAGAAATAAGAATCAACTTCGCTTCATGAGCTGACAACTTGAATAAATTCAAAGTTATTTGCTCTCTTATCCCTCCCCAGGAATTAAATATCTGACAGCGTTGGCGTTGGTGACACGAATTCAACACTGACCTCCCCAGAGGGACAAACCACGAAGGAGGGGCTTCTGGCCCTGCCCCTCCCACACTGTGGGGTGCAGGAGCCTTCTCAGCCCTGCCACGCCATGCACAGGGGGCTTTGGCCCCCGACAGGAAGTGGCCTGGGAGTCCTAGGGGATGCTGCTGGCCTCACACTCCCACAGAAGCCATGCCAGGGTCCACAAGACTTAAAGGTAGAGTCCGAGGGCTCTCTATTCCAGAATTACGGTCTTTCCAAGAGCCCACTGGGTACCAGGTGCAAACTCAGCATCCTAACCCGAAAATCCAAAATCGGCAACTTTTTGAGCCCGACAAGATGCCATAGGTGGAAAATGCCACACTGGACCTCCAGTGACAGATCACAGTCAAATGCAGGTGCAGGAGCGAACGTCTGGCCTAGTGACGGAGACGCTCGTTAAGCTGCCCACACCCCACCTCTGGGTGCCTGGGTTGGATACCTGGCTCCACTCCTGGCTCCAGCTTCCTGAAAGGCAGATCCTGGGAGGCAGCACTGATGGCTCAAGTACCCAGTTCCTGCCACCCACGCGGGAGACCGGGATTGAGTTCACCGCTGCCAACTTCAGCTCCCAGCCTAGGCTGGAATGACCCAAATGGGCACTTGGGGAGTGAACCCAGATGGAAGCTCTTTCTCTCTGCCTCTCAAATAAGCTAATTTAATTTAAAAAAAAGTACACCAAAAACAATATAAAATTACATTCAGGCTCTGTGTGTAATGCATATATAAGGTACAAAGGAATTTCGTGTTTAGACTTGGGACTCATCCCCAAGATATCTCATTATTTACACACAAATACTTTAAAATCTGAAACACGCCTGATCCTACGGCCCAGAAATCCTTGGGTTCAAATCATAGGTGAGCCACTGACTGGCTGCAGGACCTTGGGCAGGTTGCTTAACCTCTCTGGGCCTCGAGGGCCCATCTGTGAAGTAGGGGGTGCTGGCGCCCACTTCCCGGTGTTGCCGTGGGGATCATACGGGCTACCTCATGAAGGCACTCGTCCCAGGGCTCACCCATAACGAGCTGGGGACGGTGGCACCTGGCATCAGAACAGCAAACACTGGGACGCTCCCAGTGTCATTACTGTCACTACAGCAGGAGGTGGCCCAGGTTTCCTCTGTCCACGGAGGCCAGCAGCGCCCCTTCCCTGGGGAGACAGCCCCAGCCCTCCCAGGCTCTGGAGGCTGTAGCCAGGCTGGCGTGTTGTGGTTGTCTGGGGCCTTGTGCTCACTCCAGGCATCAGGTGGGTGACACACTAGTCCCACAGAGCAGCGTGTGGCTCCCAGTCTGCCATACATGAGCCTCAGCGAGCTACTTCATTTCTCCCACCAGTCAGTAATCCTGCCTCGCTGTGGGGATAACACAAGACGTGTGACAAATAGCGGGAAAGAAGGCAATGCAAGCCT